ACAGGGCCTGGCACAGAGTGCGTACTGGACAAATGCAGGCTGAGTGACTCAATCAATATTCAAGAGCTAAAACTATGCCACTAAATGTTGTAAGGGCCTAGCTCGGCATTTATTAATGTTCCTTCAAGGCTGAAATTACAGAAATAAAAACAATAATTCAATGATACCAGGGAATTTTTCTTGAAAATATCAATTTATGTTTTCTTGAAATACTTCAGAATCACAAAAGGGATAAAATTCAGATTACTACTTTTTCTTCTGCCAACATATATATAAAAGCGACCAATAATTTGACGTTCTTATTCTAGAAATCCAATAAAACTGTGAAACAAAACAAAAATTTCTTGAGGAAAAAGAACTACCGACCTTGTTAAAAAATATATAAAATTTAAGCAAATCTTTGCGCCATATCTTGTTCTAAAATGAAGTTAAACCAGATTACAAAAAACACGCACAACATTACCAAATAAAATAAACTTTAAAACAAAAAGATCTCAACAGTTGGGAAAAAAAAGGTAGAAGATAAATCTAGAAATGAGTCAGGACACAGAACACATGCCTCATGGTCCTTTATAACGGTAAGAGGTGGGTCAAAACGTGCCTCTCCGTTTACTGGTGGTCTATCACATTCACTAGGAGTACCTACGTGGTGCAAACAGTTAAGTGCTCGATTACTAGCCATGGGGCTGGCGATTCGAACCCACCCAGAAGTGTCTTGAAAGACACGCCTGATAAACTGCTTCCTAAAGGTCACAGCTTTGAAAATCCCAAGGAGCAGTTCTAGTCTGCACACATGGGGTTGCCATGAGTCAGAATCGACTCCACATCACATTCACTGGATCTTGTGGATTCTGACATCCTTGTCTTGCCACTCCTGACATAACATTTCCGTCCCTTACACAAATTTCCCAGGTCTTCCATCAATACCACGTCCCTTGTTATACTTCTAAAATATCATGCTCACACTTCTTGTTATTCCTCTACGACTCTTCCATTTTGAAACTTTTCTTTTAAAAAAATACTGTTGGCTAATACTCTATAAAGAGCCCTGGTGGCGCAGTAGTTAAAGGCATTTGGCTGCTAACTGAAAGGTCAGTGGTTTGAACCCACCAGCCACTCCACAGGAGAAAGATGTGGCGGTCTGCTTCTGTAAAGATTTACAGCCTTGGACACCCTATGGGGATGCTCTACCCTGTTGTACACTGTTGCTATGGGTCGGAATCGACTTGTAGGCAGTGGGTTTAACATCCTATAAAACCAAAAACCAGTTGTCATCAAATCAATTCCAACTCATGGCAACCCCATGTGTTTCACAGTAGAACTGCCCTCCATAGGGTTTTCAAGACTGTGATCTTTCGGAAACACATCACCAGGCCTTTCTTCCGAGGTGCCTCTGGGTAGATCAGAACCACCATCCTTTTGGTTAGTAGCCGAACACGTAACCATTTGTGCCACCCAGGGACTCCCTAACACCCTACAGGAGCATCATACTTCTTTTCCAGTGACAAGCCCATATCATACGGTATTTCAGACAGACTATAGTATTTAACACAAATAACACACCTTCTGCATTTGTTTGCCGGCCACACCATTCCCCTACGAAGCACCCTCACAAGTGCTGCCATGCGAACCCTCTTCCACATGTTGCTGTAAAAAAATCAGTAGAGAGCACTTATGAAAATACCTCGCGTGGGGAGGATGCAGCCAGGAAACAAACGCAGAAGGCACGTTATCTGCGTAAAAATACAGTATAGTTCCACATTCTAAGGTGGCATGCTGTAACTGTCACATCCACTGCAACGTCAAAAGTGCCTCCTCTTCAGAATATTTTACATCAGACAAAAAATCAAACCCAAACTCACTGCCGTCAAGTCATTCCGACCCACAGTGACCCTACAGGATGGGGAGAAGTGCCCCATAGGGTGTCCAAAGCTGTAAATCTTTACAGAAGGAGACTGTCACATCTTTCTCCCAGGGGTGCCTGGTTGGTTTGAACCACTGACCTTTCAGTTAGCAGCTGGCTGTGCCACCAGGGCGTCTTAGTAGACAAAAAGTTAGTTATTTCTACGTATTTTAAACCGTGCAGTGATTTAACAAACCGCCCTCCTTTATTTTATACAAAATAAGGTGACAACTATGAAAATTCCAAGCTACAATAAAATCCAGTTTTGTGTTGACCCAGTTCTAAATCATACCAACAGCTCCAACTGCAGGCAAAAGAGCACAAAACCAAAGCACATTCTGAGTCACCCTAAAACAAATCTTTCAAACAAATTCCTTCTGCTCCACTAAGATTTATGTACAATAGCTGAAGACTTTGATCATCCATCCTTAAATAGAGGCACTTGGAATACAGCTAAGCAGTTTGTTCCAGCTGTTTAAAGCTACAATCCCATGAGCTAGCCTTCTGGAGTCATTTTAGGCCTTATGTATTTGAAAACTAATAAAATGGGTCAGTCAAAGGACACTCTTGAGATCTCCACGCGTTAAAAGTTCAGGGACTGGGAGAACTACGAAGAAATTGAGAACGTACTAGAGTTACATAATGAAACTAATTTGAAGAATACATCTTACAGTAATTACTGAAAACATCTGCAACAGTCCATGCGGTATTGTGCTACTTAAATATTGACAACATCAGTTTATTTGCTTCGTTGTTTTTATGAAACCAGATACCTACACCCTCTAGAATGCTTCCTAACTACTTAATATTGACACATACTTTGGAGAAAAAAAGAAAATAGGGCTTTGAACCAGTTCTTCCCAGTTCAGTCACAGCCAAGGAAGCAAAACCAGAACAGACCTAAATTTTGTAAAATTTGGGTGAGCCAGAACCATAACGAGAATAAGAAAAATTATGGGTCGAGGCTCTGTTAGAAACCTAATTTCCCTTTCAGAAAGCAAGGGCAGCATGTATGTTGCATAGCAACCAAATCTTCTGCCTGTCGGATTTTGAACAGAGTCAGAAACAGCCGTTCTCTGCTCAAAGATGGCAGCCAACTGCACCGCTCTGAACACAGGTTGCTCTCCTCAGTCCTGCCAATACTCCAGTCTCACGCATTTACGTTCCTGAAAGGGCTCATTACGCCTCTTCCAAGTGTCCTATTCCATGACTTCAACCTGTAATTCTTCCTATTTCTGTTATGATTCTGGCTCATCCAAACTGTAAAAATTGGGGTCTGTTCCAATTTTGCTCAGTCAGCCATGACTGAACTGGTCTGAACTGGTTCAAAGCCCTGGAAAAAAAGCCTACGGTTAAAACTCAAAAGCCAGTATGGCTAAGAAATTTTTTCACACATTGGTTTTTACTCCTTCAATAGAAGTAACAGCCTCTCTATACTTAGCTTTTGGTCCTTTGCATGCTGTGATAATTAACTTTTTCCTCAATATTGAATAATGCCTATTTGTATTTGCCCAGTCAGTGGTTAGGAGCCATGGCTGTTCACCAAAAGGTCAGCAGTTCGAATCCACCAGCTGCTTCTTGGAAACCTGACGGAGCAGCTCCACTCCATCCTACAGGGTCACTATAAGTCTGAATCAACTTGACGGCAATAGGTTCTTTTTGGTTTTTTTGTTTTTTAACCTCTGTAACTATCAAATAACTTAGATCTTCACTACTGTATTTGACTTTCACAAACAACCGTGTCAACATGTCTTATGAATTCCACTTTAGATAAGAAACTGAGAATGAAGCCAAGTTATAAATACAAATGTGCCTCCATTGTTTTGGGGCATGTCTGTTTATTGATTAAGGGGTGATAATGCCAGTCCAAATAGATTTTATTTCTTCTATCAAAAGATCAAATCAATCTGTATAAGTCTACAGCTGTTCAACTTGCATATACTCAACAGAGGAATATTTTTTGATCGCCTCACAAAGTTACAAACTTGATCAATTATAATCAAAGACTATTTCTAACAAACCCCTTGGCAATTACACTGCTACTAGGAAGAACAATAATAAACCAACAAAACCATCTAGTCTTTAAGTGGACTACTAGGAAAACGCCACAGGTCAGCATGTTGACTTCACGGAAGTTGCCACCACTTGAGACTCACAAATTTCAGTGAATCCGACAACAGGAAAAATTGTAGTAAGAATTCTCCTATTCTGCGAAGCAACTGTAACTGAGAACTTGCTTATTTTCAAATATTATACATCAATAAAAGCCTCTTATCATGACAGACAAGCTTAACAAATTTAACTGAATTAAGTACATGTCCGAGTATCGCTGAGGCATGGATTTCTACATCTTATAGACCCAAGTAAGACCTCTAAATTCTCTTCAGCTTGACTTAAATGAAAGAAAATGCAATTCGTATTTCCAGAAGCAAGACTGGCATGTTTTCCAGTAAGCTTCTTGTTCTCATTTCACTGTTTTAAGAGTTCTGATCACTCCCAGTGTGCTCTACGGCAAGAGCTGATTTCTGGTGGCTGATCGTTTTCACGACATGCTTCTTGACTACAACTCCCTCCAAAAACTGTTTTAATTCCTATTTGGCGTTGATGTATTTACGTACAAAATATCACTTCAGAGGAGTCATGCCAATAAAAGGAACAACTTACTAGACTTTCAGTTGACTTTGTTAAAGGAAATTATTTTAAATTAACGTGGCTACGGAACTGCTGCCATCCTTGACCTCAGAAAATATATTCCTTCTTATTTTTGCGGTGAATATGTATTTATTTAAGTTAAATTCCAGCTCGTGAATGCTGACCATAAAGGAGTCTAAACCTTCCTGCTACTATTTCATATTCTTCTTCTAACAAGGGTGAGCACATGTTTGCTGCGTTAGTATGCACAGCCAGATCACACCATTAAGTGAAATCTATGTATTTTTGGTGGAATCTTTTAACAACTTCCACACCCACCAGTGAACTGAAACAAGGATATTTTGTTTGCAGAGAGCAACAATTTGATCTCTGGTTTTCTAGATGGCACTCAAAATAGTTTTCCGTATGTTCTTCTCCAAGAGACTCTGACATCAGCATGGTTTACCTTCACCAGTGAATGCAGGCTTTTTTCACCAAACATATCCCAGAGGAAGGTCAGGTCTTCCTGGCTGTCCACATGTGGCTGCAGCTGGGCTGGCAGAGCAGCCAACAGCTCATAGAGACCTATGAAATGAAAATAAAACACAAAAAGGAATCTTAGAGTGAGCTCACTGATCTCACTGAAGGTGTGTGTAACGGTGGCCCGGAACACATCGTTTTTACTGGGTCCGTATTCTGGGCCATCAAGTAAAGCATTTCGCCAAAGAAGCAAAAGAAACTTTGATTTTTTTTTTAACTCCAAAGACATATGTACTCACAGGCTAGTTTCTACCTTTCCTTGCTGTCAACATTCCACACTCACCCAAGTTTACATAACCCTAGACAGAAAACGTGTACAAGTTTTCAGAAGGGAAGAAAAAGCATCCATTCCTTTCCTTGATCGTTCTTACATTCCCCTTCGTGTGAGCCAGTGAAATGAGTCACGAAGAGGAAAAGCTTCCTCAGAAGAGCGGAGACCTGACAGAGTGGCCCACTAAAAAGGGTCTGTGGTTTCCAAATAGTTCCCAGTGATATACCGCATCAAAAACGTTACGTTATCTGGCATCCAAAATAAAGTTCTGAAAAGTAAGACAGGATAAACCATATGTGGGGTCCTCATAGTCAACCATTAAAAAACACAAAACTTAGTTTCAACTTTGACTCTGGTTTTCAGGTATGTAAAGCGTATCTAACACCCACTGAAAGAGTTAAAGTAACAGATCCAGGCTAGCGGCTTCCCCGGGACAGACAGTAACACACTGTTCCACAGTAGCGGGCTACGTAAACTATCCATCTCGTTCAGAGGCCGTCAGACTGCTGTCCAAGAAATGTTGCAACAGTGCTTGCCCGAGACTCTTCAGGGAGGTGACCTGGCAGAAGTCGCTATCAACTCATAGCACATGTTTCATTTTCCAGTGGGATTACACGAGATAAAAAGGACAAAATTCCTTTTATTTCTGTCTGCTGTCTACAAAAACACCAAGACCTCCTGGGACCTACAGCACATGGGTACTGCTGTTATTTTTAGTCTGAATAAGTGCTGCTGTTCCTCACAGGGCAGCTTCACAAGATATTTAACTAGCAAAGAATAGCAAGTAATTTATGGGCTGCTGTTTATTCTATCTAGCATCATCCTAAAGTGTTATAATATTCTACTAATCGGTGGTAGTTTGCAACCAAATGCATCAGTACCACCTGGAAGGTTAGATACGTAACCTGGGAGACTCGATTAAATTCAAACATTCCTGCAGCTGTATTTAGTTTTGGACAAAAAAAGCTAAATACTTTTTTTTTTTTTTTTTTTTAGTTCTCCTAATTACATGCTTTAGTATTCTTGGTGGTTTTACATATATTCACGTAAAAACCTGGCATTGTGCCTTAACCAGATCTGATTCACCATTTAGTAAAAACTATTTTTAAGGCATCTCGCATACATAATAACACAGGTCTCACTATAAATTTTTTTCTTTCTTTAGTAATCAACAATTGCCAAGCTCAGTGGTTAAGGTCAAGGTTCAGAACTAGACGAGGTGGAGAGACGCTGACCTCCCCACCCCACCCACGTACATGACACTTGTACTAAGTGTGCACAACGACCATCCGTGCAGCAACTTAGATCATGCAACAAGAAACCACTCGGGAGAAACCTTCCTGCTCCTTTTCTCCTTCCAGGGGACCCCTCAACTCCTAACATACATGTTTTACCGAGGAAACCACCAAAAATACGTAAAGAGCGGGTGAAATCTCATTATTTTGCTATTGATTTCAGAACTTGTAAAATACTTACCTATTCTTTGGTAATAAGATATAGTACTTAATTAAGAATACTTATTGTACAGTAAAACCTGTGAAAGCCAGAACCTGTGTAAAGTGGAAAACCTGTCAGAGAAGGAAAACTCAAGTATTTTCCACTAAGAGAGAGCAACAGAAAAATGGTAAGGCACACCCCATCAAAGGCAGAAAACTGGCGAGACCTGGAAAAACAAGGCCATCCTTTCGAGTTCTGGATTTCACAGCCTTCACTATAATTCGTGTGGTGTGGCTGTTGTGGGGTTTACATGAGTTAACACATTAGAACAGTCCCTAGCACACAGTAAGTACTCAATATGCTTCAAATGTCAATAGAAGTTTCAGTCATTGGTGTTACTATTATTGATTACTATTAGTAATGATTATTATTACTGCAAAAGCAAAAGTTTGGATCAAACAGACCTAGGTTTAAACTACACTTTGAGCAAGTCACAGCCTCTCTGAGCTATTTCTCCCACGTGTTTAAAAAGAAATGGTAATCTACGTGTGTGGTAAAACTGCACAGAACTAACACACACAGGAGCGCATGTAACACGGTCAAATCTGAGTGAGATGAACACATTGTGTCAATGTCAATTCCCGGGCCGTAATCTTGCACTGCAGTTATGTGAGACGTCACCATGGGAGAAGAGCAAGTGAAAGGCACAAGGGGGTCTCTCCGTACTGTTTCCTACAACCAGACATGAATCTACAATTACCTTGAATTATAAAGTTTAAAAAAACGTGGTAAATATCATTGTCGTAAGAATTCAAGGAAACAACATACATAGCAGCGCCTAGCCCTAGCCCAACGCGATGAAAATCAATGTCCTTTCTCCCTCACTGTCCCTCCAGAATGAAAACACCATTTCAACCCAATGGTTCAAAGTCAAAACAACTGCTTAGCTGTCCATTCCAACTGGATACAATACCATCCTCAGAAACCAAACCACCCTAGTCTTTTACATATGGAAAGTGTTAACTTTTCCCAAGTACTGCTTAACTTTTGGTGGGAATAAGCCATATTATGTTTAAAATTTTGAAAATAATGAGTTCATTGTTAGCAGAACCTCCTAAAGCTGGATTTTCTGTTCTTCACCGGCTTTATGCAATCCTAACTTATAGGGCGTTCCAGCTTGGCACTCTAGTGACAGCAGGAGTGACTCCTGTTCCCCTACCACATCTGAGAACCACGGACCAAAGGCAGAAGAGACACGGGCGGTGCCACCAGGAATTAAAAGGTGGTTAAAGAGCCACTGGGCCAGAGCTGCATGCAGTCTCAATACTGACAACCACTTACACTCAAATTAATCCTACAGACCCAAGAAATCACCTCCGTCCGTGCATTAACCGGGATCTGTGTTCTAACATCTGCTTTAAAATACTGCAGTCCTCACTTCCTAGAGTTCCAGTAACAGAATTGGTCCTTGACACTCAGATGGCAGGTGATGAGGGTATATCAACAATGGATATCTTTAAACATTTTTTAAATCTAAATCTACCAGTCCCTGAAGAAAAACTGAGACAGTGAAGGTTATCACTGACTTCTCTGTAGTCATCCAGCCCATCAGGCTTCATTCCAAACAGCACTGACGGTCCCTGGGTACCAAGCACCTCTCAAGGCTCTGAAGACAGAAGACAGATCAGGCTCGCTCCCTGCCCCCAGCGTTCACCTACACTGTGGAGGACAACCGCAGAAAAGCCCACTAGGAGGTGCAGAGCAGTGTCGGAGTCTCGTGGCAAACACAAGGCAAATGGTCACTTCCTCCAAAGGGGGAAGAAGACGTCAGGAAAGTCCTTGGAGAGGAAATGACACCTGAGTTAGGTCTTTAAAGGATGTGTTCCTAAGAATCAACATTTACTGAATTCCTACAGCCACAGCACACTCCAGTCACTGGGACACAACCACGTACAGAATGTACACAATCTCTGCTCGCAGAGACCTTACAATCTTGGATGATACAGAATACATACCGTACCTGCCCAAACATAAGGCAATCCTAAATATAAGGGATCTCTTTTTTTTTCCAAGAAAAGATCCAAAAAAACATATTTTCCTCAAGTGGAGTAAACAGACACTTGGGCTGTTGATTAAATATTCAAATGTCTAGTCAATCTTTAGGATACTGATGAAATGCTCAATTATGAATTTAGGTTAGGTTATATGAGAATAAATGTGGCTTCTCCAAGGAACACATTTTTAAGTGAAATAACTGAGAGACTCTACCCTATAAAAGATTTTGCAGGGACCTGAATATAAGGCAGCTCTGTCTTCTCAGAGAGAAAATTTTGAGGGAAAAAAACTCACCTTATATTTGGGTACACGTGATACAAGACACCGCCGAAGATGCACAGGAAGAGTTTTTATTAAAAGAAAAAAGAGTTTGAATAAAATTATCTCATAAAATGTTCCAGTAGAGAGAAAAGCAGTATTTTTAAATTAACATATTACATACAGGAGAACGGCACCCTGGCGTCACAGTGGCTAAGTCAGCCGTCTGAACCCACCAGCTGCTCCACGGGAGAAAGACGTGGCAGTCTGCTTCTGGAAAGATCTACAGCCTTCGAAATCCTGTGGGGCTCTACTCTGTCCTGGGGGTCACTATGAGTCAGAATCGACTCCACAGCAACGGTTTGGGTTCTTTTTTGCTTTTTTTCATATATATATATACACACACACACACCAAGAAAAAAGAAAGCAACGATAGCAAAATTAAAACGTGCCAAGGGTGAGGTGTTGATCCACACAGTGAGAATGACAGCAATTCCAAGCAGAGAACAATCAATGCAGAGCAGAGAGGGCCAGGGGGAGCTGGCAGGACTCGAGCAAGGAGCTGACGGGAGGAAAGAAGGCCTGGGAGGGTGTGCTCCAGCGTGGAGAGCACCCAAGGGGGAAATCAGCAATGATGATGATGTAATCTACAGGTTTTTAAGTGCACTAACTTTTGTTACACCCGAATTTCTGCTTTGTGTATTTACATCAATTATGGCCCAATCCAGAGACAGGAGCTGGGCACTAACTGGCACAGGGAAAGTTTAATATAAATAATTGTTAACCACCGTAACGGGATTACGTATAACGTGGTAAAGAGAACTCTGAAGAACACCCAGGGCTGAGAAGAACAGTCAGAGGAAACAGCAGTGGAAGAGGACGCCCTCCCCAAGGCTGAGGACACAGTGGCCCGAGCTTGTCCACAGTCGCTGGGCAGGAAGGAAGCACCCCTTCAGGGTGCAAGATCCTTATAAAGAGTCATCTTGAATTAGTGAGATTTCATTACCGTATAAGATCACTCCAA